TCTGTATACAATAAACCACTCCTTCTGGTGACTCTTGCCTTCTACCTTCTACTTGGGAACTTCGACATGATGATTGTAGTGATCTAGGCACAACCATTACTTAGACCCCTACAAGCTAAACAACCCGTCCACGAATGTTACGCACGCAACCTACTCTATACTTCCTATTATTATCGTACGCATTATTCGCCGAGGAAGGCGAATAAGAAAAGGCGCGTTCGTGGACCAATATATATTTAGAACGTTTCGGAAACACACTCATAGGCCTTGAATTAATCCGCCTTACCACCAGGTTCGTATCAGAACCGTACTCGATGTACGTGCGTTTGCTTGCACGTTGGTTGGCCGTTGCCTCTGTACTAATGGCTAATGGCAGGCTCGTGTCTCCTGTTTCACCTTCACGACTGTCGTGGTTGGCGTTATCTCAACTCGCATCTTTCCGCATACCACTTTCTATTACAAGATGGAACATAATATTACTGCTACAGAAGCGGCGACTTGTGCCAACCTCCGTCACTTCAAAGGTATACGCGGCGCTAAACCGAATTCAACAAAGACTGTAAAAATTTGATTAGTTTGCTTATGTATTTTTCTACCGAAGACACACGAAAACTGTCCACAGATATTGATGTTAAACGGGCACTGTGCAGTACACAGCAATGAAGAGGCTCATCCAAACATTCTATCCGTAAAGCAAGCTATTTGTCAAAAACGTGCCCGGACATGCTCGTAAAAGCATAGCTATGGGGTACTTCTGGGTGGCCTATTTTGGGACACTCAATAATTGACACGGTAAGTGGTTGTGCAACATGCGAATGACTCTCGGCGGTCTATTCTCATTGCCAAAAGGGATACACACGCTGCCAGTCCGGAATTGAAGTAGCCATTCCAGCCTCAGGAATTAGATTTAGCTTCATATTTAACTTTCAGAAAGACAGGTCTTGCTGTCTATTTAAAACGCTCCTTGTCGGGATTGGTCCCAACGAATGAAAGTGACCAAGGAGTGTTTCCCTACAGGGGGTATGAAGATCAGTTTCTCAGACGATTTGCATATCAAATTCTTCGCAAATGTTGTAAGTACCATACCAACTCTTAAATACTAAGAAGCTTTGTAGTCATTTACCGAGACTGTTACTTTTGGGCCATTGATAGGGTATTGGAGTGGGTTGGGTTCTTGAGTTTCGCGACTCAGTTAACCTGGGATACGTTTGAAGACTCAAACATTGATGATGCCAAGAAAGCGACCGTCTGTGAAACGAATGGACAGTGAGTGAGACTAAAGCTCTGATGAAGGCTAGCTAAATCGCGTCTAGGTAGTCTCGTACTCTTGTCTTCATGTCATTATCATACTTCACAAAGTAAAGCAGGTTCCAGAAAAGCGCGCGCAGCGCATTAGAATTTAGATGACACCCGCGGACTAGTACCCCGGCCGCCCCCCAAGTTTATAGTACAGACTTTCACTGTCAGTCAACTTGCCGCATGACGACTAATGCTCTGTCCGTCGGGTTTCCCTCAGTGAACAACGCTCACTAATACGTACCTCCGCATTGTTACTTGCCACAACTGCCTGACAGAAGGACATACTGTGCACCCAGATGATTAATGGTCTTTGGTCTTCTCACGGGAATACTCTACCGAGAGGTATTTTGATGCAGAGGGTTTTGTGCACTGTTCGTCTCGAAATTTAAGCTTATAAAAATAATGATTAAGTGTCCGTAAGGAATGACTACAATGAATATAATTGGAGACTCAGCCTCACCGAAACTGTTCAAAGACGGCAGTATGCGTCACCAAACTCGGGTGACAAATATCAACCGGATTTCCGAAGAGGTGAAGAAGGCGGAACCAATACTCCTGGATAATTTCAGGACGTATTTCAGAGAGGAGGTTTTGAGTGGAAAAGTTGTGGTAAACTGAAAAACAGATAGAGCGAAAAAAGGGTACTGGACAGTAAAATATAGCAAATGAGATATTTTACGTCGCATGAGAATCGAGTGGAGTTCTTTCTTTGCAAGGAAATGAATGCGAGGAGAAGTGTACTTACTACCGGAAAGTAACCCAAAAAAACAATTCTCAAGGACCAGAACTGGCCAGAAGGAAGTTTATTCCAGTTAAAGCGGTGCCAAAACTCGGGTGTATGGACACAAATTATTCATTCAGTAGATCCTCCCTCTATTCTTTATCAAAGAGTTGTCCCCCCTCCCCCTCCTCTTCGGACCGGTGACTCCACTCTCTTAACCGCAGACAGCTACCGTCAATCACTCACTACAATCGCCATCACGAAGGATTGGCCCTGACCCCCCATCTCAAGCAGACACTCTCAACTTCTCTGTTATCAGAGATAGTTTTGAACTGCATTTTTGCATTTTTTCCTAAAAACCCATACTTTTACTTGAAAGTCAGGAAACAGCTGGTACTTCCTCGTCTGTAAAAAATGCGCCGAAAGAGTACCAACTAACAGAGTGACCCATTCGAGGAGTGTTGAGCAATTTTTATTTATAGCCGGACCGAATAGAGGGCATCCACTTTGCATTGTAGTTCCAGTCGCCCGTGATTTTGAATAGTTCCGATCGCGGTCGGCACACCCTAAACCCGTTTTTTTTTCGTAGCTGTACTAGAAAAATCGTCAATTTTTGTGCACTCTCATTGTTTCTGAAGATGGCCTATTGTTCAAATCCGAAAGCTCAGACAAATGCAAATGCTGATCCAGTGATCACGCCTTCCTCTTCTTTGCGAAACCCTGAAGTTTAGGGTGTTGCAGAGAAGGCTAAGGGCCTAAACCCTTACCCTCACTGATAGTGTATTAGGTTTCATGAGCAACTGGACACGTATTCAAATCATGGGTCTTTCCAGACAGTGTTTGGGGTTCGACGGGTTGACTGTGATGGCAACAAGGTAAAAATGGCCGAACGATACACCATATTGGCAGCACAGGAACTAGCTAAAAGCTCAGGTACGTGTTGAGGATTTATTTTTGAGGAAATTAAAACGCTGCAATTAAAAAATGGTGTATTTACCAGAAGACAAACGTGTAACGCTGGGGAACCCACTGATGAATTGAACCTCTCGTAGCTGTGTCATGAAACGGTAGGATATTGACAAAACAAGCGCTTGAGCTAGTACCTGTGCTGCCGGTATGATGTGTCATACAACTCCAATACATATCACTAACGGCCTGTTAACGGTTTAATAAATATTACTCGGTCATACCACAGTGACTCATGGAATTTGGCTCAAATATCCTTATTATATTTCGTTCGGCGCCTATAGAACCCAGAATATACTGATGTGCTTCAAGTTAGTGATGAACTTCTGAGATAATTAAAAGCTACTATTTTTGGTTTAGTGGCTGTCCCAAACTTGCGATATTTGAGACTTGAGTCTACATACGTCCGCAGCTCCGAGGCGAACCGAATCCAAACTCTACTAAGCAGCCCCTCGGCCCTGCCTTCATTAGCACTGACTGCGAATATTCGTGTCAGGTTAAAGTAATGTTCTCCAATCTGGCTGGTTGCAGGGCGGGCCACAGTCGCAGCTATTTTTAGCACTCAAAACACAAGTATGAAGTGTAATAAATGTAATACTAACTGACGGTGCGGTTACCAGAAACCTAGCAGGTTGTTCAAATGCCGTCGGTGTGACATTCATTCATTCATTTTGCAGTCAGAGCACCTTGCTGGGCTCAACGCCCACGTGACCAGTAATTCGGTTCTTTTGTAGTTTCCTCGACAGCGGGTACTCTCTCAACTTTTGAACGAACTCCTGCGCACTACTGGTACACAAGCACAGGACTTTAAGTACATAAAGAGATTAAAGAAAGAAAACACTGATTGTGAATATATTGACTTATCACGGAGTATCTATTCTGCCTTCTCTTATCTGCCATCTTCAGAAACGTTACGCCAACGGTTCAGTTGGAGCACTGATAAGCGGAATAAATACTAGCAGACAGTGTCCAAAATGAGCATAAGTTGTTCCCGAAACCAACCAATACCAAAAGGAGCAGGCGAAAAGAGCGCACATTAAATTTCTGAAGAATTTGGTACCAACAACCGGCAGTAACATCGGAATAATTGATTTCGAATAAAGATGATTCAGTTAATTTAGGCTAAGTGCACTTAACAAGTGAAAAAATTACTCTACACCTACCAGACATGTCAGGCAGACGGACTAACACAGCGTCGGCATTTCCATGTGTCACGCCACCTTTGGCGACAGTAACACCTGGTGGCAGTGAGATGGCTGTCAGGTGTTGGCAGAGGATGTTGAAAGTGAAGACACCCAGCTGGCGAGACCAGTGGTTCACAGTGGAGATCCGATGTCGAGATAGCTGG